TCATCAATAGCGTCCCTCCCACGGTTTTAAACAATCTTCTGGAGTAAACGATCCTCTATAAAGGAATCGACGCCGAGTAAAAATCACTGCAAGTCAGATGATGGAATTACCTGACGTTGTGGTGACCGGCAGTTGAGCTTGTTGCTTTTACAATGAATCATACCTCTCCTTTCGACCGCTCTTTTGTAAACTCGCTCAGCGGTCGAAAAGAGAGGTATGAATCATTGTGAAGCAACAAGCTCGATTGTCGGTCACCAGAATGTCAGGTAATTCCGTCATCTGACTTGCGGCGATTATATATCTTGCGTCAACTCCTTTATAAAGGATTGTATAGCCTCAGGGTATCAGTTGAAACGAAGGAGAGCGCTACTGATGAGTCTCAGTAGGACAAATAAGCGCCTATATAGCACTAGACCTAACCACTCAAACATGTTATACTTATACCTAACATATTTTCTTTCAACGAGCCAACGATAGCTATGGCTCTAAAACCGTCGACGTCTAAGGCATTAGTGGAACAGAAACAGTTTTTAGATTACGGCGTAGTTATTTACTATGGTATAATCATCTGCAGCCCGAACGGCGTTTACTGTGAAGGTCTTGAGAATCCATCACGAATTGAAAGTGAAGTTGATGTGAAGCAAACTCATATTTTTAAGATTGCTATCATAGCATCTTTTTCGGAATGTTAATGTTTCAATTTTTATTGTAGTTTAGTGGCTAGACTGTATACTTTCGCAAAAAGTTACTCTTGAAGTTTTGTTCCAGGGGATATCAAAAAAGAAATCTGTGTTCCCAAGAAAACTAGTCGCTGTTATTCTTTGTAGCAGATGTGCGTATTACTGAATCTACGGTGACTCCGTAGCCAAGTGGCTGTGATGCTCGTCGCAAGACGTGCGAGCTGAACTCCCACTTACCCTGTTCCCCCCCCCCCCCCCCCCCACACCAGCACTCTGCGGCAGTCAACGACGAACGCCCTGTGGAACACCTCAGCCAGGCTATCCTCGAAATTGCGCGGGACGTGCTCGACCAGTATTCTGCGACGTTCAAGAAGAAGACGATAAAACGAATCTATTTGTAGAAGGACCGGGATCCGCACAGTGAAAAAAAAGTGTGAAGACGAATCAATAATGTGTCGAAGTGTGCTCTACATTAAGTCTTCTCTTATTAAGGAATGTTTGCTTCATGTCATCACTCAATAATTGTCATTGTTGAGGTGTATTATGCTTAATTGCAACAGTATCAAAAATTAACCTAATTTGTAAAAATTCATACATATCAAATATGACTATGAGGGTAATTATTTCAACAAGTCCACCTTTTGTCGCTGAGGAATGACGTATACAGATTTGGCTTCAGAGGATGACTAAAAGCGATGCCGATTGCCAGTGCCTGTAAAATTTGTTGTTTCGTTGTTTTGTATTTCATATTGTTTTTTCATCTATGAATGCAAGAATTTTGCCTTGAAATAGAGACATTGCTATCGGGTGATTTATATAGGTGTTTTACACTCATCATGTTCTTGTTTCAATAACGTTTTTTTGATATTCAAATTTTTTTGGAAATTTTAATCGTTAACGTTGATGGCTAAGTATGAAATAAGGTTTTTGATATGAAAATGTGGACAAAAGAGTATCCATGCATCTGCAGATTCTGAACATCGCAAAGCATTTCAGCTTATAGGGTACTTCTTGTCACGGTTGTTTAACTTCAGGACTAGGCAGATATCTTATCATTTTAAGTCGGCACTGGCCGACATATCCCACCCGAAAGTCACTTTATCTGCCGGAAACCAATACATGTACAAAATGTTCTTTGGCGAATACGTTCCTTCGTAGCAGTCTATTTCACCAAACGAACCCTTAGTATAACCAGAACAATAACGTGCCCAGTACGGATTTGTGCTTTGTCAGGCGATGGCTTGAACCCTTCAGGATGTTAGCGTCTCGCAGCGTGTTGGAGGACGTAAGTCCTGCTGGACTCTTTTCTGTTCATATCGTGAATGGATTCTTTACACCTTCATTGAGTAACCTATCAAATACAGATGTGTTTTCACACGTATAACCTTATCACACATCTAGATATGCACCAGAAGTGCTCTTCGGTTCGTCTAAATTAAATGCTGTGGTGAGCACTTACATCTGTACTAACTTGTACACAAGAGTTCAAATTTGAAATGCCTTATAGCTACCACAGGTTGATAAATCACCGAGAAAACTTGTATACACGTCCTTCTATTGTGCATGAGGACCAGGTTTGCAAGCGTTGGGCAATCATGAATGTTTGTACATGGCATATATTTTCAGAATCGTATAATCTCACTGGTTTTACACTCTTAACAGATCACAGTCTTAACATGACATCATAAAGTCCCGTCCAGCGAGAGATTTGTAGAGTTGAATTTCATCTTTTGATAGTCAGTTTGAGATTCATGAGCTGCCAACTGCCTTCACCTTTTCATGCAATTATTACTGATTATTGTTTGGATAAAAATGTATCTAGCGGCGTGATTAGAGGTGCTTTGCGAGGCACAGAATGTCAATGGTTCAATGTAGCCTTCGCTGCTCACTAAGTCTTTCACCCCTTCGCGGTGGGTGAATTTATACCAGACTTGCCTGCAAAAAGAAACCAGCGATTTGATGCATCGGCAAGCCAAAGGAAACCGTTATAAAAGCTAGATATGCTCTCAGGAACCTGAAAGATGAAGACGCATGCATGGCACTTTTTTCGGTTATTAATCAACGCCGAGAACTTTATTGTCTATCTTTTTTTATTGTTTGCATATACACGCTCATTTTCACTTTAGATTAATTTTCAAGCATTCGCTCGCTTCATTTCTGCCTTAATAATTTTGATCATCCATCCTAGAGAAAAGAAAGTGTTATCAAAATGACAAAACGCTGTACATCGTCTCATCCCGTCTAAATGATTATGTGAACTTGTGATGTCATAGGTTAAGTAAACCATCTCACATTTGGGTGCTATATTTCAGATTTTTGGCAATTCTTTATGTGGAAAGAGGCTACAAGAAACAGAAGCAATTCATGTTTTTCTGATGCTGAGAATTTTCTGTTGATGTTTTCATCCTTATTTTTCTTATCTTTTATCGATTTCCACGTTTGTTATGCTTCTGGTATCTGAAGGTTCCTTTTCTCTTGTAAACATATCATTCTACTTTATTATATAACGATGTGAAGAGGTAGGGAAACAAGTTCTTGGGAATGAATATGAATGTACCTCTTCGTGATTGATGTCAGCCACCTCATAGTAGGAGCATGCAGTACATTGTTTTTCTACGTAGGCTATTTTCTCTGCTTATGTGCCACAAAGGCCAGTTTGCTAAGGCCTCATAATATGACAAGTTTTGACAGCTTGTGAGCTTTCGTCTATGATGCTCACTTTGCTGTACATCCAAGATTTTATAATTCAGGGGGATACTTGTTTTAACTACGGAAAATTTCTTCTCGAAAGGAAAGAGAGAAAAATGAAATTGTAAGTGCACAGCAAGTACGCGAGGATCACCACGATCACACCATTTCAATGTCAAACTGTAGACTGCGCTGCACGGTGCACTGTCCGTTGCTCTGAAGTGTAATTAAAGGATAAAGCTCTCGGCGTTCATCAATCGCCGAGGGATGCGCCATGCATTCGTCTTCAATTATTAACTTCGTTTGAGGTGGTTGAATGCATATCTGACTTTTGCAATGACTCGCGATGGCCTTCGAATGTACCAAGTTAGTGTTGCTTATGCTCCTAGAGAGGTCCAGAACCAATATGGTACCAATTTACCGACCCTGGAGAGATGGATGGCTTGATGAGCCGTGAGCACGAGATCGAGCCATTGGCTTCGTGCGCGACGCAGAGCACCTCTAACCACTGCGCCACATGTTCTCGTTACTGTGCTTATTTTCTAACAAAAATACCATTTCGCTGCAGTGTAGCAAGGAAAGTGAAATCGAATTTTACATATGCGACGCTATTTGTGCTAGTTTGTGCGTGTGTGTGTGGTGCGTGTGTGGTGTGTGGTGGGTGTGTATGTATGTGTGTGTGTATGTATATGTGTGTATGTGTGTTCATGTGTGCGTGTATGTGTATGTGTGCGTATGCGTGTATGTGTGTATGTGTGCATGTGTGCATGTGCATGTGTGTATGTATGTGTGTAGGTGTGTACATGTGTGTAGGTGTATGTGTGTGTTGTGTGTATGGTATGTGTGTGCTAGGGAGAGAGGGGAAGGGTGCTGGTAGTGGAGTTCTTACCGCGATCGATTGCCCCTTTGGCGCGTTACGAATGCGAAGTGCATTTTCGTTATTTGATTTGGAATATCATCTCTGCTTCGAGAGGTACTCCAGATTAAACGTATGATTCTGATACTACGAGATTTTCTCTACATTTTCATATGCTTTCCATGCTTAGCGAAATTATGGTAAAAGCGCGGCCCGTGGAAAACACAGTTTTATCTCAAATACTACAGCTTTACTACAGGGTTCTTTTTAATGAAAGGTATAGCGCAGTAATCAAAGATTTGAGCTTTCGAATAATTGATAACAATCATATGGCGGTCATATGAAAAAGTTCCAATTCAGCGAAATTGATTAAATCTTTGTTTGTCGCCTCAAAACATACATATTCTTCATTCGCTTACAACTTTCTAAGAAGCTACGATGAGTACAGTACTCTTAGCTGTATTAGAGTGAAGTCCCATCGCGAAATTTACACACTTATATTATTATAAATTTCTACCACAGGTATAATTAAGGAAGAACTCTGTGAAATCAAAACGATCTCTTGTTAGTGAATCGTTACGTTTGTGATTTCAACCGACTGTAATGCTAGCTTTTTTCTTAACTCTTCTTGCTGCTGTTGATTTTTCTTCCTTTTTCACAAATTATCTCAATCCTACATATATACCTAATAGAGTTGAATGATTAACAAAAATAAGACCGCAGACGATAGTCGAACTCGACTTTCATCCGCACCGAATGAGTGGTGGAGCAAATGTGCCTTGGTGGTGTAGTGGTAGCAAGCGTCCGCGATATGGACGAAACGCGGGTTTGACTCTCGTCTGAAGTCGCATTTTGCTCGCTACTCAGTTGTTTTAGGTGTATGTCATAGCACTGCAAAAAAAATAAAAATACTAGAATTTCGGAATACTTTACTTTTGTTGAATTCTTATCGGTAGTCGCTTAATCGAATTGGCTTTTTTGTGAAACTACCGATTTTGTGAATTGAGATACTGTTTATTCAAATGAGTTGCATCGAGATTTATCCCGATAAATTCGAAGCATGCGAAAATTATTAGAATACTAATCACGGTTGAGCAAATGTTACGCCGAATTCGTATAAATTATATTAATAGAAGAATCTTTGAATCGATAAAACCCGAAAACTGAGGTTTTATGATGATAATTTCGATGAGTTAGGAGTATCGATGTGATTAGATATTGTTCGGCTACATCATGAATACGCTTTTCATGCATTTGTTTTTGGTTAGAGTCCGTGCTCCGAAATATCAAATTACAATTTTTTGAAGTCATTTTCAGGAGGTTTGGCGCTTGAGGTAAAAACCAGATGGGCATCTTCCACATAGAAGTAGCTGTTTGAGATTATTCGATAATTCACATATTGAACACAAAATTAGGTAAATGTGCTTAGAGAAAGTTCAGCAACAATGTCGTGTCCCTCGCAATGTGCCATGCGTTTGATATTTCAGTCCGCTCATAGCTTTTCGTTTTCATTACCTTATTTTCCTCTTCAGCGTCAGTCTCTAAGCTTGACACTATTTAACTTCTTCGACAACACGATAGAACCTCTCCAATATCGGAGGCTTTTTCGTATTAGACTCCCTAGAAGTAAAAAATATTAATCGCCTCATCGTGCTTTCAACTCCATGTATGCATATTAACGTTCGTCCACATACTTGAGATGAATTTTTGCCTTTACACAGGGAACACATACTTGCCAAAATTGCTCCAAGAGGTAGATATTTTATTCAAAAAAAGCCTTCCAGTATAACGTTTTCGTACTTATTTGACTTGCATATAAATCAACAGTAAATCCAAATTCAATGATGCTACATTTTCAAGGTAATTGTGAATATCGGAATAATCACGCAGGCATATATTTTGCATTTTTTGTAAATATTTCGCACTGAAGGTTTTTTCTGAGTATGGTTAAAGTTCAAAATTTGCATAAGATTTGAAGAAATTGCACAATTTCGCGGTATGTCCACCACATGTGGTTGTCGTGAGTTCGTTGCTGCGTCTCCGCTTTATAACAGCGCACATGGCGCAGTGGTTAGAGGTGTCTGCGTTGCTCATAAGGTAAATGGTTCGACCTTGGACTCATGACTCACCAAGCCTTCCACTCTTGTGGGGTCGGTAAATTGGTAACAGACTCGTCTGGGAGGATCAACAACACTGACGTGATACATCAGTAGGCCAGCGTGATTCATTGTAAGGCCAGATATACATTTGATCGTCTCAAATGCAAGGCGCATCTCTCGGGATTGATCAAGGGAAACCTTTACCTTTTTATTCGGTCCATAGTGGTAGACCGTTGCATTTATGTTCTCGATTATTGCGCGGCTCACGTAGAAGTTCTTCTTGATCGCTCGAGTGCCATTATCGCATTTATGATACCGTCAATGCGTAAAAATGTAATTTGCTGTTATAACAGCTCCTTCTGTTTTCTGAAGGATATGACACCTCTTTTGTTTTTCAAATTAGAGTGCGCAATGTTTCTAAGATATTTTATTTCTAAAATTAAAATATTTGAGGGAAAACCAAAAGAAAGTGTTTTTACAAGAAACTTCTAGTTTTTTTTCAGTATAGATCGGTGCCTACTACAAGAACTCAAAATCATAAAACAATATTTGATGGGAGCACAATAAAATAAGTAAAAGGAGCGAGGAACTGATCAGAAGATTGGCAAGAAAACGGCGAGATGATTCGTAGTGTAAATCATGATACTGACTTTTATATGTATGAACTCCATTCCGTTCAAATTCTGTCGATTGTTTCATCATTATTTGAGCCAACATGTTATGTGGTCTGGTAAGGGCTCTTGTACAGCCCGAGACACGTGTTTCGTCCTTACAGACTCATCAGCCGGGCAGAACCCGTCGTCTGTCGATCTTTTCATAGCCAGTTCTCTCGGGAGCGTCACACTCCTTATATATAGTTATCGACGAGTGTTGTACACTCGATTGCTCATTGGCTGGTACTTTTGTCATAACTATACCTTTATCTCGAGTGCTTTGCTTAGACCACGCTCAAATTTCAATATATCCTTTCATCATTATTTGAGCCAACATGTCATGTGGTCTGGTAAGGGCTCTTGTACAGCACGAGACACGTGTTTCGTCCTTACAGACTCATCAGCAAAGATATGGGCGTGATATCATAAATTCTTTTACTGTGTGTAAGTCCTAACATTGATCACGCACATATCCTTGGTATCTTGAGGATAACCAGCCTGCTCCGTTGCCTGTCGAAGTGCTAAAATTGCTTTCTTTCATGTACAGATTCGTTAATTAAAACTGCGGATGGTCTCTCTTAAATCCGCTTGGTTCGTTTTGAACATCTTTTTGACTTAAAATACACAACAGCGACATTTACTTAACTTTAGGGAGTTTTCAACCAGCACAAACATGGTTAATATGACGGGAATCTTTTTACAGTAGCAAAACATTTCGAGGACACTTTTTCATGAGTGATGTGGAGGAGTCGTTCCAAGATTCATCGTTCAGAATCAGATCAAATTATCTAAGCCCTTTACAAACTTGGATCTATACCTCGTCTTTACTGGTAGATGGTTTAAGGAGATGAGCGTTTAGATATTCGTTTCTGGCTGAACGGCGTACCAGAAGAAGCAAAGTGTACTAATCCGTTTAGTAATTTGCATATCTCATTCATTTGGTCAGCGAAGAGAGTAACAATAGCGGCATGTTCATTTACGCGGAGTCTATACCGAATCAGTGATGTTTCCTGTTCAGATCTTGAATTAACGCATAAAGTACGGGCATGTGTTAGAAATTATCTGGCTTTCGCCGCTTCGATTATCCGGTTTGGCTTAGACGTCAGTATAATATTTCACACATTTTCATGAAATGCTGCTTTTGATTCTTGTAGTAGTAAGATTGTGAAATCACAGCGCTAACGTCAAGGATGTCCACCAATGCCTGTTTTGTTCAGTTGTATATGCGATGCTTTGAGACGTCTGCTTTTCTCGATTTTATAGCTGTTTTCCATTTACAACGCAACAAAAAAATTAGTTTTTTTCTATTATGACAAGACCAAGAATTTATGAAAATATTTATCTCATAAATTTTGAAAGCGAGGAGGGGGGGGGGGGGGGGGGTTGAAGGGGGCGGTGGTGGACGGTGGACGGTGTCGGATGGAGTCGGTGGCTCCGCGTCGATTTTCAAAATTCTCCACCCCTTCAGTGAGGCGCTGGCATCTTGGTCGTACTTGATCACTTCCTTTCCTATCAATTAAAGCTGAAATACGGACATACGTAAGGGATAGCTTGAAGGAGTAACAAAAAAATGAGAATGTGTTGGCTATTCCGTGCTTGGAACATCTACCTTTTCAATGGCCTCGCCTCAGCTACGTGGTCCTTCACAAGTTCAAAGGTTATGGCGCCTTCAATTCAAAGACGTTTTGAGAAGGTCTGCTGTATTCACTATCAGTTGATCTTTCCGCTATACATCAACAATTTGAAAAGTGTTTAGAAGGAGCAATAAAGTGGAAGATCAGACACATACCTATAGATCAGCTTCAGCCACAGCCACGGCCCTTTCGGTCATTTCCAGCCGATCAATCAGCACGGCATTCTCTTTCTCTAGATTGATGGAAAGTTTTCCCCATAGTGCGGCGTTCTCCTTCTCAAGAAATAAGAAGGGGATTAGAGCAACCGACACGGAAAACAATATGGAAAAAAGAGTCGTTATAATCACCATCAAATTGACCGTTTCATTCTCATGGAGCCTTCTTTCCTAGCCAAGCCCTTGGTGAACGGAGCTACTTTTTTTTCGGAATGTTGAAAGACCGCTAAACATTAACCAGATCACTTGAATACTTCAAACGGTAATTTCAACATAACTAAGTAATAAAAAAAGAGCAAGCGACGGCGGTCCCTCGTTGTGCCTTTGAACTTGTGCAGACCTCCGCAAAACGTGAAATGATGCGGAAATGTCAGATTGTAAAAAATAATTACTATTACCAACGTGAAAATAACCCTAATGTCAATCATCATGTATTCCAAGGGAGAGTTCAAGGCACTTACTTTCCACTTCCTTCTCATTCCTATGCAACCTATCTTGCGTAAGCTCATTTTCTTCTTCAGATCGCTCACTCTCATCCTTCACTGGCCGCTCCTTGCCTCGGGTTTGAGTAGTGTGCTTGAAGACACTGTTGAACCTGTATTTACAGTTTTTTTAGACTAATATGATGATAAGCACATATGCCACAAACAGTAAAAACTAGTATCTTATCTATTTTCAAAAAATACACGAACACTGATAATCAATATAGAAAGTTGTGAGCGAGGCCGTTCGAGTTAGCTCATTACCCTGCTTGTACTTGAAGTAGATTGTCGGACGATAGGATCGAACCGCCACAATGGCACATGCTTCCTGATAGTGTTCATCACTGACCACTCGACTAGAGAATACCACTATACACAATACACACCCTTACCCTCACTTAGTAGATGGGAACTAAGTTATATTGAGTTTTAACTTAGCGCCCACCCGTGCCAAGTGTAAATTGCGCTGGACGATCGACACGGCGCCGAGTGTGAAACTCAATAATCTTTTAGATGTAACAACATATCAAAACACCCTTCTCAGAAACCAAATTTATAGTTGAGGTCGTTGACTAAATGAAACCCTCTGCCCAGTGAAAATAATTGAATGTGAAAGAAAAATTGGTACTTATATGTTGAGTGGCGACAAATTTTTGCGCCAATCTCATTCGCTGAACAGGAAAATTTTATAGGAGTGTTATTGTCATTCGAAAGCTTAAATCTCTGCCTACAACTATACATTGTCAATTTTTCAAACCACCCTTTTA